AGCGAGCACTGAGTCACAGCTGACCTCTGATCTGCCTGGACTTGATTTCAGCTGAAAATGTGTACTGGAACATTTTGAGAACAAGGGGCATAGTATTTTATTAGATTCATCAGACTGTAGTCAGAAAGCTGAGCTGAGATGGTTCTTTCAATTAGAGATAATGTGCAGCTTTGTTCCTGACCTCTTGCAACTCTATGGTAATTCACCCCTGCTGAAATGGACTTGGGGCTCCTGCAGTCATAATGGTCTCATTTTTGGCCAAGTTTTAATAGGATTACAGAGAGGATACTGATGGCTGTATTGCTTGTTATTTACCACTGAAAGCTGAAAGAATGTGTGGAACTTGGCCTGAGCCAAACCTAAGAGTACATTCAATTGTACAGGCAGAAAACAACCATTACAAAGATATAATTGTGGCAAAGACTTGTAAAAAAGAGAGGCTATTCATTTAGTTCATTTTTTATAAAAAAAAAAAACCTTTTGTAGAATACTTTGTGTTTATGTCAGTATGAATCTAAATACTGAGAGGTGATATTGGATTTCTACTTTTCTGTTTGTCTTTTCTGCATCTTTCGATGTCTTTTTTTTTTTTTTGGCTGATTATGAGCAACGTTGCATAAAGATATGGTATAAAGCCCTGAATTGTTCATCACTTGCGCACCAAAAGTTAACAGAACAGATTTCAGCTGGCATGCACAGTTAGATAAATGCTAAGTGTGTGGCAGAGACAGATTTCTGCAAGGTAGCCGACTGTAGTTGCAAAGCACTCCCTCTTTTGTCATTTCATGGTAGAGAGCCAAGAGACTGACAAAAGCTCTGGCAAATCCAAAAACACAGCACACGGTGCAAAAGGAAAAAATAATAATAATAATCATAATGCGCCAGAGCCAGATTCTGAAATTCTTGACCAAAAGGCTTCAAGCCTCCGGCCATAACACCTTGATGGGGGCACGCCCAGCATCTGTCAGGGGGCAGAGTTTCACTCAACAGTGATTAAAATGTTGAAGTCAACTAACAAGGCTTTGACTTCAATGTTAAGCAAAGCCCTGCTGTCCAGCTTTTTTTTAAAGGTGCGTATGTCCCCTTATTTAGGTGAACTTGGCACATATAGTTTAATATACTACAGAATAGCCATCAGCTAATGGTGGTTTTACTGTTACATGAACGAGTTCAAAGGTAAAGCTTAGAATTTTAAAGGCTTACTGTGTGTTTTCAAAGCCTTTTCCGAAGGTGAACTGATAAAAATGTGAGTTTTTTTAGACCAAGATTGTGGCAATAAACATTTCTCTGCACCAATGAACAATAAAGTGAATGACATTTACACACTCAGTCAGCAACTGATCTGCAACACAGTCAGCAAAACTGCTTATGCAACCATCCAGGACTGGGCATTTACCGAGGCGCCAGAACCCCCGTGTTTAGCCGCAGGGCTGCACAAACGCTCTGAATGCAAACCTAAACAATACAAGCATACACAAGTAAAAACTGACCATCAGTCAGAGATGTCAAAAGGGCAATTACACCAAAAATGCAAGTGCATCAGGAAATCCTGCTGGTGTCACTGCTGATCTGAGGACAGCCACTGAGATAAGGATGTCAAAAAGGTGCGTTGCACATCATCCCGCTAAAGACAATTAGAGAAAAGCCTCTCCCTCTTATATCTCATTGTGCGCTGACCCAAAGGGCAGTCCAGGGAGGCTCATTTACAAACCTGCTTGTGCAGATAAAACAATGCTTATTCTCACCTGCAGCTGAATGTGACTCAGCTATTATCAGGAGGGATCCTTGAAAAAGAGGTGGGAGGCGCCGGGGTTTGAATGCTGAGCGAGGAGCTGAAGGGATCATTTACAGCCAGTTGCCATACATCCTCCCTCTCCCCCTCAGTACAGCCCCTTTCCCTGTCCCCTGATAGGTCGATTAATCATTCTGTCACAGAGACAGTGACCCAATCTGCATGTAAGGCTGTGTAGAGAAAATGTGACAGAGCAGAGGGCTTCTGCAGCACTGCAGAGAGGCATTTTGTTTCTAAAAGGGGAAATATGTAAAGATGGAGCGTACAATGCAAGATTTGTTTTCAACTTCCTTTACAGCTGCATTGAACTGGCAGCGTTCCATCTTGGGCAATCTGGTTCAGAGTTAGCTGTAACAATGATAGCTCTGTATGGTGAACATACAGGCAAAAACAAAAGAGCTTCAACAACAAGTCAAAAAAGCTACAGTCAGTCGAAAGTTATTCAGTGTTTTAGGTATTCTAATGCATAAAATACCAACATTTATTGATTCCTGCCTCGCATACATTGGGAGTAGCTACATAATATATATAATAGTAAATCAAACATGCTTCAGCTGCGGCCTGTTGGTCAAACAAAACAAGAAGGATATCATTGTGGGTTCTGGGAAGCTGTGATGGCCCCTTTTTTCTGTACTCATTTTACATTTTCTTGGTGAAATTATTAAAAAAGCAAAATAAAATAATTTGCAAATGATTATAGAATAGATAATAAAAAAAAATGTGAGTAGTAGTTGCAAACCTACTTAGATTAGGACAAAGATTGGAGAGGAAAACCAGAAACCAGATCTATCTTACAGCACCTCTTTAAAAGTTCTGATAGGAGGAGATTCCCCTGTTCTTGTTCTTGATGCTAAGCTAAGGCTACTGTTTATAGTCTAATATAACTGCCAGAGGTGCATTTCCTAAAAAGTCAAACTAATCAATTTACATATATGTATGCAACTTTCCACGTAGCTAATCTCAGTGTAAATTCAAAGATTTTGCTGGAACATTGTAGGCACACACATAAAACAACTCCAGTATGATGAAACGCACTGAAAATGTTTTACTCCTTCTCTACGGCAGTGTTTCCCCGCTCTGTGATGCTCTCCCTGACCATCACAAATCCTTGCCTTCAACATGACGAAAAGCTGGCAGGAATCTCACAACAACAACTGGTATGTATGTTTTTCTCCCTGTAAAGATTAAATAGAGGTGAAATTGCCCCGTCAGCACAGCAGGATGCTGTGACTAGTGACAGCATCTGACCGTTTAACACTGAAGCTCTCTGCCATCGTCTGCCAGCAACACACACCATCACATGGGCTGGGGCCAAGACTGGGAAGGCTCAGCTCTCACCTGGAGTGAGAAGCTGACAGCAGCTGAGCAATCACAGTGCTAGTTGTGTTAATGTGTCAGAGCAAAAACCACTGACTCACTCTTTGAGTCCACCGTGGCTGGCGTTGTCGTTTTAAACATCGTGCTGCGTGTGAATGCTTTAATATATGAGCTTAGAGGGAATATTTCACCCGCATGAAGCAGCAAAAAGTTGGAAAAAACAATGTTTTGAGTGCAAGAGGGCACACCCACTCCACTGTGGGATGGGATGCAAGCTGCACAGTTAGAATAAAAACCTCTTTTCTTTCTCTTTCGTCTTTGAGCAGTTCCCGCATTTGGGCACCAGCTGTCTTCTTGGAGGGAGCCAACAGGAAAAAAAGAAATAAGATTGGTGAACTTCAAAGCTTCCTCTCATTTTTCTGGTTATGTATGAGAGACTCGGAGAGTATTTCTTAGTGTGGGAGCCACTGGGAGCGGCTGCCTGAGGTACGGACTTAATGAGCCTGCCTGAATGTTTTAGAGCCTGACAAAAAAGAACCTTCAGAGCATGCTCAGTATCAAATAGTCTCCTGCACTCTGGATGTTGAAGAAGTAAACATCTATATGGGCACAGTACATGCTAATCTGTATGTACATACAACGTGATCCTTCACATCCTCCACTGTGCGTTTGTTTACTATACTTCTGAAACCTGAACAATCATGTGACCACTTCAAATGCAAGCCATTGACTGCCTGTGATAATTACAACACCAGATTCCCTGGGGAGAGAGCAAACCTGGTTTGTATTTCTAGATGTTACCTCAGGACACAATGCCCTATGAAGACAGAAGAATAAATAAATAACTCTCTTTGTGCACAAGATAAAAACTGTGTTACAATAGGACTTATTTGGAAACTGATGGTTCTCACTGGACTAAAAACCTCAGCCTCTTAGTGACACTATAACTATTTGTAATCAGTTTGTGATAATGAATTTGAATGAAATTTGATTGAATAACTCTGTGGTGCTAACGATAGGCCCAATGCAGATTTGCAAGAATCAGCATTTGGCATTAAAACGTTGAAGCATCTTAAGATAGGTTTTGTCCTTGGTACTGTCACCTCGGTGCTGCCTGTGCTATATGTCCCATGAGAGACAGCAGAAAAAAGAGCATCCTGCAGCACTTTATGAAATCCCCACCCCTCTCTCTATACTCCTCAGCACAACTGTCAGCCTCTTTTTTTTGTCTGACTACTCAGTCCCAAAAGATAAAGAGCACCGGGGCTTGTGTCTGTTTTGTTACGTTACAGATAAAATACAATAGACCTGAGGTTTTTTTCAGTGTAATGGGCTGTTTTTGGCTCCACTTGGCTGTTTCTCAGTGTTCAGGGAGGTTGTGAGAGATGCCGGTGGAGCTAAAGGGGTAAGCAGAGCATCTGTCAGCAGGGCAGCCTCCTGGACACTCTCCAGGAAAGAGGTACTACACCCACAAGGAAAGCTAAATGAGGCATGATCAATGAGAATCAATCTAGATCCGGAGATGTAACCCTCCGTCTAAAAATTCTCGCAACAGTCCCTGACGTGGAATAATAACAGATTGCACACAAATTGCACGAAGGTGCATACCATAACTAGGTCCTGGGGCAGATCAGGACTCAAAAGATGCTTTGTATTCTCTTCACAAGGCTTAAGAATTAGCTTGGAGTAAAGTTAGGACCACATGCACCTGAAAGTAACATGCACACGACACCTGCATTATGGTAAAACCACCTAAAAAAAAACAGAAATGCAGCAGCAGGTAAAAATAATCCTTCACTACAGCAACAACCAGCAGCCAATAACTCCATTCCAGATTCCTCAAAGGAAGTGCTCGAGCAACGCTGAGAGGAGAGTTGAAATGCACCCTTACCAGCACTACCGTAATTCCGTAATCCTGTTCTTCACAACAGGCAAACCCATTCACCAAACAGGCACTTAGGGTTAATGTTACAGTGCCTTAATAACGTCTCTCGACCGCTCTCCCATCAGCACCAGAAACTGCAGTCCTCCTCGCACTGTTTCCACTGCAGCAATACTTGTTCTCCTGTACACACACACACACTCTCTCTCAGTCATTCTCTCTGTGACTACCCCCACCTCTGTTCCTCACAATCCCCTCCTCCTCTCCCTCTCTCCACTCTTCCTATCTCGTTCACCGAAAGGAACCCCCCCCTCCTTTCACCTCTCCCTTCCCCTTGCTTTCTCTCCATCTTCCATCTCTCCCCTCCGCTCCAGCACTCGCTGTTCGGACGGCTGATTTGTGATGCTGCTCACAAGGTGCTGTATGCAGCAATCTGTGCCCCAATGCATGAGGGCAATCCAAAAGCATCCATATGCTCTGCTGTTCGACCGGCACCTACACCCTCGTTCAGGCAGTACTGCTGCTGCTGGGGGACTCCGTGGGGCTCAGATATGTTCCTGAGCTCACGAGGCTGCAGCTGTGCGGAGACTGAAGGGGGACGTAAAAAGGCAAAAAAAGAAGACAATGACATGCTACAGATGACACCTCTAGATAACGGGACAAAGACAAACAAGAAGCCTGTTATTTGCTTTGTGCTTACTGCAGCAGTAGTTTGCTACTTTGGCTCTCATGCCATGTCTGTCCATTAATCTGATTTATGTCTTTGGATTTGCACCACTCTCACTGTCAACAAGGAGGCTTTTAATCTGCAATATTTGCAGGATATGTATGTGTGTGTGTATATGTATGTGTGTATGTATGTATATAACATGGCCACGCTTACATAAGCTTATATGGTTTATAAGCCTTTTGCTGACCAACCAATTTTCACCTTTTTCACACTGCTTTATATAAGCTTCTGAAGCTCGATAAAGAGGATTTTTCCTCGTCTTAATGATTCAGAGTGTAAATACTGCGAAATTGTCACGATGCCACGCAGACCCCTTAGCCCACACTACTTTTTTCCCCCACCTTACAGTTGCCGTATTATTGTGTAAATCTGCTTATTTAATGACAAGATGTGACGCATGCTTTCGCTGAACACCAATGGTGAACCAGACAGTTTGGAGCCCTCGGGGTATTGCTGCGTGTCACAGAGAATGATCGTCGTCCCCTAAGTGAATCACCCACCTTATTGGCCAGCGATGAGCACTTGAACCAAAAATCCATAATGTCTCAATCAGTAAAAATGGAAGGTAGAGAAAAGAGGGAGACAGCTTTTTTTTTTTTTTTTTGTAATTTCAAAGTATACAACTGTAGAGGGAGGAATGCAATTCATTCCCTGTCTGTGGCGATGCCGTTTCTCAGTGTTGGGTCAAGGAAGCAATATACAGTATGGTTTTCTTTTGAATTAGAAGTGATCTGTTAATTGGAGGTGAAATGAAGCTACCCCAGTGATATTCTCATAAAGAAAAATGAGCACAGTACTTCTCTGCACATCTTGGTACAGTCTATATATCACCACCCAGAATTTCTAGGTTTTAAAGTGCACAAACTTTATTATGTTATATTATTTTATATATTTATTAATGCCATTGAAGGCCCCAATATGTTAGTCTGTAACTAAATGCTTTCCAACTTCCCTTCACTGTCTGTTGCACTCGGCAAAAATCTCATTTATTCCTACAACTTCAAAAACATCTCGTGAATGTACAGCTTTAATTAGCAAGTTTTGTTTATGGAGAGAGTGATTTACTTAGTAATAACTTAATAAAGTAATTTATTAACCAGCTAGGTACTAAAGTTTTTTGCAAGCAATAAGTCAAGTTAATTGCACATTTGTTGGGAACTGTGTTCAGCTGCTGATTGATTTGGTGTAAGTGAGTTTTTACAGCAGCAGGACAGTGAATGTGGGATTGATTTAAAATAACTACTCATGTAATGAAGGGACAAGCCACTCAGGGTGGCTCACTGATGTGTTTTTAATAGTTTCTGGACAACAATAAATCTCCAGAGTGCGAGATACAAAGCCTCAGCTCCATAGACAGAACTTGTTTGAAGGATCACTTAATTTTTTTTACAGGATATGTTGGCAGAAAATGCAGAATATTGCCTGTAAGATCACAGAGACACAACAAAACCCAGAGGGTGGCTGCCTCAGCTCTTCCTGCAGCTCCCCGCCTCCATATTGTTTTGTGTAGGGTGAAAGTAAAATGGCAGCCTTCCACTGCAATTTGGACTCAACAGCTCAATAGTTTCCACTCCCTCTGTATATATAAATGCAGTGACATTTAGGTCTTGCTGTTGAATCCATGAAATTTAGCCAACCCTGTATTCCTTTGTGCACTCTTTTCCACATTGTATGGGATATCTTACAGCCCAGTGCCCTGAAACAAAAGCAGGTGTGATTCAGTGTCTGAGTGGGAACAGGATATTGATCCGACCAAGATTCATAGCATTCTGGGTAAACCCATAGTGAGCAACCCTGGCAACTTTCCCATGAGACATGAAACACAGAAGGATGCTGATTTGTAGCGACAGATGACTAGTATGAATGCTCCCATCATACTTTTATGCTGCTGACGATGGCTGTCACAGCAGATTCTGAACACACTCATAATCTAGTAATCATCTGCATAATTTCAATGAATAAGAAGTGAAAAAAAGAGAAAATAAATCCATCAGACCTTTCTTTGAACTAAACAGGCCAAGTCTCCGGAGAAATTCTGTGCAACATAGAATACATATTTAATAAGGCGTGCGTGTTGTGGAGACTAACTGCATGGAGCTTACAGCCACGTATTAAAAGCGGCAATGACGATGAATACTTTAAAATACGAGCCTAGACACAATGGAAGGCAGTAAAATGCACTACTTGGCTTCGTCTATAATATCCCATTCACCACAAGAGCTGGGCAATGTGGCTGATTAAATCCCAATAATAATTAAATCCTAATTTTATTTCAGTCGATGTAATTGCTAATTATTGCCAATTCATACATTTTTATTAAAGGCAAATCCCAACACTTCAATGAAAAACTCACATATAAAGCAATTGACACAACAATAAACAATAAATGAGGATAAAAGAATGATTTCACCCTCGTATGTATAAAATAAAGAAAGCAAGTACAACCTGGAGGCACTTGGAGGACGATAAGGGCAAAGCTGCTCTATCACTAGAAGGTTAAAGTTAATAATAACTGGCCATGACTGAGTATCATTTGACGGAGACCCACATGTCAGCCTCTCCACATGCACCCCAACATAAAGTCCACCCTTGGAGCAGGCCACCAGGATTGTGCCACTTAGATGAAGGTGGTGGGGGACTTAGCTGTTTTTAAGATGGTCCAAAGCTTGCTTCACTAGGGGCCCATGCTCCAACACAGGAAGTCTGCAAGTGGGGACGGGGTTGAGGAGAGGCCGAGGCGACTACAGACTAGCGTGCCTTGGATAACCTGCATGACTGCCATGCTAGAGAATGATGGAGGGCGACGGAGCTCTATTATTAAGGTATGACAGGCTGCTTATGAACCAGAGAGTTCTTGGAGTTTGTTCATGGAACTAACTTATGCTTCGCATAATACAATTAAGTGAAGCTATCGCACATCCTATCAAACAGTTTTCTTATTGCTATCAATAAAATGTCTATTGCTCGTACAGTAGATTATCATTTTAGCGCCTTGGTTTATGCAGCACCACGTGTTTTTCTGTGCAACAATAAAAGCTGTAGTGTGGCTGTTTTCTCTCCCCCTTCTGGCAGTGAGAATGATTACACAAACACTGTCAACCTACGCTTATAACATATGCCTACAGGGTGTGTTCTTTACAGGGTAATCCTTCCTTTGAATGTCAAGTTCCATTTATATCTGGAGCATCAGAAACTTTTTTTGAATGCTTCCTAGACTCCACTATATACCTCAAGTTGCTGTTGTCTACGCCATCTCCATTGCCACAATTGCTACACTCCTCAGCTCTGGCAAACTAGTCATTGACGGTTGGTGTAAATGTATCTCTACTGGTGCACCAATGTGTCAATGTCCCCACAGACACCAGACTAAAACTCTGGTACATTGTGAAATACATAGAGATTTACTTGCATTTTACTCACCATTGCACAAACTCAATTGAAAAGGGCCTGAATGTAACAAGTCCTTCACTCTACCTTTATAGTCACGTGGCCTTACAGTGGCTCTTAAAGACAACATTAGGGGAAGTGATGAGCCTAATTTGGATAAGCAGCAACTTCACAGATATCTTCGCTTGCCCATTAAGTCTTATCGTTGTTACTGGCCTTTTCGTGCTTGTTTATCCAGGTTAAGCCCATCACTCCCTATAATGTCCTGAGGCACGTCCGGTGTACCATTTTTCTTTCTGCACGTGTTTTCCCTATTTGCATGTGTTTGGTATTTCTTGCATTTAGAGTGTGTTTCCCCTTAATGTTTTTGTGCTTTATTTGGTTGTTATAATTTTGCCCTTAGGGGCCACTGTAGCACCTCAACAGGGAAAGTAGAAAATAGAAGGAAAAAAGCCCATATGACAGCATCTAGTGTTTCTCCTTATCGATGGTAGTCTCAAGATTTATGTTTGTGGATGCTTTAACCGTGAAGCAGTGAAATATGGTTGCTGCTGCTGCCTCATCTTCCAATCTTTTTAGTGACTGCAGCCATCATGTTCGTGCGGTAAATAGCGTACGCTGTGGCTGGCAGTCAAGGATTAGATCTGGTTCTATATCTGTGGTGCTGCAGATGTGAGGAGGTGCAACAATGCAATACTTTGCGCTTCATTGTGTTGGCTCATTTTAGATCTGGCAGAGTGAGAGGGAAATCTCATTGCTAGAGCCATGTTTCCATAATGTGCCTCCATACTGCTGTAAAGAAAGTGTCATAATGTGTGTGCTCCTGTAGGTGCATATACAGCAGGTGAAGATTATTGTTTAGGACTAAACAGCACATTTTGAGTCTGTTTCAGTAGCTGCAGTTTTAAAAAAAATTGCATAAATCATGACACATTATTTGTTATTTTATCAAACAGATGGAGGCATAAAATTAGAAGTGCAACAATTACTGTGTCGTTCTAAACATCTTTTCAGATGACATAATACACTGCGCAAAAATAAAGGGAACACCTAAATAACA